GTCAATCATCTGTCATCAGCTGTTACCTGTCAATCATCTGTCATCAGCTGTTACCTGTCAATTATCTGTCAATCATCTGTCATCATCTGTCATCAGCTGTTACCTGTCAATTATCTGTCAATCATCTGTCAATCATCTGTCATCAGCTGTTACCTGTCAATTATCTGTCAATCATCTGTCAATCATCTGTCATCAGCTGTTACCTGTCAATCATCTGTCAATCATCTGTCATCAGCTGTTACCTGTCAATCATCTGTCATCAGCTGTTACCTGTCAATCATCTGTCAATCATCTGTCATCAGCTGTTACCTGTCAATTATCTGTCAATCATGTTATCTGTCAATCATCTGTTATCAGATGATGCTGATGTTTCCACTGCTAGTAAACATGTTCTCCAACCTGTGCTCCACACAAACCATGAACCAGTCTGAGTCTTGGTCAGTCTCGGTCTGAGTCTCAGTCACAGTCTTGGTCTGAGACTTGGTCAGAGTCTTGGTCAGAGTCTTGGTCTGAGACTTGGTCTGAGACTCGGTCAGAGTCTTGGTCAGAGTCTCGGTCAGAGTCTTGGTCAGAGTCTTGGTCTGAGACTTGGTCAGAGTCTCGGTCTGAGACTTGGTCTGAGACTCGGTCAGAGTCTTGGTCAGAGTCTTGGTCAGAGTCTTGGTCAGAGTCTCGGTCAGAGTCTCGGTCAGAGTCTTGGTCTGAGACTTGGTCTGAGACTCAGTCAGAGTCTTGGTCAGAGTCTCGGTCTGAGACTCGGTCAGAGTCTTGGTCAGAGTCTTGGTCAGAGTCTCGGTCAGAGTCTTGGTCTGAGACTCAGTCAGAGTCTCGGTCAGAGTCTCGGTCTGAGACTTGGTCTGAGACTTGGTCAGAGTCTCGGTCAGAGTCTTGGTCTGAGACTTGGTCAGAGTCTTGGTCAGAGTCTCGGTCAGAGTCTTGGTCTGAGACTTGGTCTGAGACTTGGTCTGAGACTTGGTCAAAGTCTTGGTCAGAGTCTTGGTCAGAGTCTTGGTCTGAGACTTGGTCTGGGACTTGGTCAGAGTCTTGGTCAGAGTCTCGGTCAGAGTCTTGGTCTGGGTCTTGGTCTGGGTCTTGGTCAGCCAACACTGTCCAAAGCTTTAAAAATGTCTTCTGTTGTATTTCATCAATCGTGTTCAGTTCCTCTGATACTGTCTGACGGACAGTTTAGAAACAAACTAAACCACGTTGTGGAGATCTTCATGGACCTCCACAGTCAGGACCACCATCTTTAGGTCTAGATGCAGATCAGTCCCAGGAACTTAAAGGTTCAGGTTCATAAAGCGGTTTGGACTGACCTTCCCGATGCGTTTCCCCTCCACCTTCAGAGCCTTCATCTTGGAGAAGTAGTGATAGTAGGTGACCACGTAGGTGATGACAGACTTCTCATCAGGCTGGTCCACGCTGATATCTGACAAACAACACATCCTCAGTCCCTGACATGACTACTTTACTGCCACAAACAGGAAGTTACAGAGGAAACTATCAAAATAAAATCATAAAACAAACACAGTGTGAGTTAATGTGGTCAGAACCTTCTGGGTCCAGCAGCTTGGTCAGGCCCAGGTGTTGCTCTGCCAGGTTAAACGCATTCTGCAGGTTGTAGTGAGCGTTGGACTTCTTCAGTTTATCAAAGTCAATCAGGTCAGGTCTGAAAACAACAAACCTTTAATTATCACAACAACAACAACACAAACAATAAGAACACTAAAACAACAACGACACTATAACAACAACACTAAAACAACTACAACACTATAACAACAACAACACTAAAACAACAAGAACAAATAAAACTACAACATTATAACAACAACAAGAACACTAAAAAAGAACACTATAACAACACTATAACAACAACACTATAACAACAACAACCCTAAAACAACAACAATGACACTATAACAAGAACAACAACAAAAATAACAAGAACACAAACAAGAACACTAAAACAACAACAACATCATAACATCAACACTAAAACAACAACAATGACACTATAACAA